TCCCTGTAACACAAGTTCATTCATTGCCTCCCAGTTCAGATGGAGGGTCAGCACTTTTCTTGAGCCATGAGTTAGATGTCTACCAGGATAAGCAAAGCAAACCCACACCCCTTCAGAGCTGATCTGCTTTCAGTGTCCCCACCAAACTCTGCATCAGCACCATGGACAGAGCCCACTCTCCCTCACCAGCCACATCCAATCCATCACCACCAAATCCTGTTGATTTCACCTCTCGATACCTCCACCTCCCTAATCTACGTCATCACTATCGTCTCTCACACTCCTACTATGTCCCATGTGTTTATGCTAACTCATTACATAAACCTCACACTGACCCTAATAGGTATGAACCAGATGAGAGGGAGAACAAGGTCAAGTTCTCTGGTCAGCGTTCCATACTCAGCAGCTGGTGGAGCCAGGGTTGATCCTGGCAGGCTGCCTCCAGTTTTGTTTCCTGAAAGGTGACCCTTGCTGCCTGTTCACCACCACACTGTGCCGTAGCCCCCAAATGGTCTACTCAGACAGGTAAAAGCTTTTACATTTAAGAAATGATAGTTGAATATTTAGTTCTCTGGCTACAAGTTCATAAAAGTAACTGCCATTTATTCCAGTACTAGTACCCTAGTCAGACCTAATATGACATCTTTGTTGACTTGCAATAAAAGATACTTAATAGGAAGAAGGTTCCAGGCAATGCCCTTGTTGAGAGGGAAAGGGGCACTAAAATTCCACACAAAGCCCCCTCCCCCCCAAAACGTGACCACAGGGGCTCTTTTATTCTTCCCTTGAGGTGGAGTCACAGACACCAGAGCTGCCTTGGGACACAAGCAGCTGCTTCACACTCTCCCTCCGGGCAGGAGTGTGCTCCCTCCCACAATCCAATCCAAATGAAGGCAATCCTGAGCTGCAAAACTACACAATGCAAAAATGAAAATAGCTTCTTCCCGACTTCCTGAGTCCTCAGTGCTGGGTGAGCTCATCAGAGCTGAACTGTTGTCAGCATTTGGAGCCCGGGCTTTTCTGCTCCCAAGGTCACACTCAGTGAGCCTGTGGGAGGCAGCGCTGAGCGGTCAGACCTCATCGCTGAGCAAACACCAGTGAGTTCCCACTGCATGAAAACATCTGTGAACACAGATGTTCTTGAATATGAGTGACTGCAATGCTTCTTTATTTAATGTGATACACATCTCAGTTATCTATTATTTTTTACTTTTTATTTTTAAAATATATGTTTATTGATTTCAGAGAGGAAGGGAGTGAGAGATAGAAACATCAATGACCTGCCTCCTGTACACCCCACACTGGGGATCAAGCCCACAAACCGGGCATGTGCCCTTGACCAGAATCGAACCTGGAGCCCTTCAGTCCACAGGCTGACTACAGGGCCAAACCAGCTTGGGCTGTACAGATTTCTGAGAGAAGAAGTGGTAGAGTTTCCAACTGTAAGTGTGGCTTTGCCTGTTTCTCCTTTCAGCTCTATCAGTTTTCACTTGCTCATTGTGACGCTCTGATGCTAGGTGAACACTTTGGGGACTGTTGTATCTTCTTGGTGAACTGTCCCTATCATGCAGTGTGCCTCTCTATTCCTGGTAACTGTCTTGTTCTAAAGCCCACTTTATCTGATATTAATATATGTTAAGTGCTACATGTTTTTCCACCCTTATTACATTTAAGGTAGGTTTCTTT